ACTCCTTAAATAGGTAATATAAAAAAGTTACACATGTAGCTAATTGTTCTCTCTCCTATAGTAGTTCATTAAACCACAATACTAATAAGTAATTAATAAAAGTCAAAAGACCAAAGAGGTCATCTTAATACTAAAAAAAAAAAATAAATAAATAGTTAGTGAAATCTATAAGTAGCTTACTAGTGTATATTAGAGTAATAAACATTATTTAAAAAATTTTAACTAATTTAGATAAGCCTTAGCTACTCTAGTTAGTTTAAGTTACAAATAAATATATTTGAGTTTTTATTCTTGCATATAGTATTTATATTACTTAGAGTTATAGTTTTATAATTAGCAGTTTAATGATTAGCTCTAACTGCAAGTGTTGGTCTTAGCTATAGCATATATAGAACTTTTTTTTGTATTTAGTAACTCTATATAATTACTACTTAATGACTATAAATAAAGTTAGAAGCAAGGCTTCACTTTAAAAATAGAGTGTCTGTAGATTAATTTTCATATGTAATCTGTATGGTGCATAATTTTTGTATAATGTAATAAAAATTGAGTATATGATATGCAATCTAGAATCTTCTATGAAATTTGCAATAATATAGTAAAATCATCTTTTACAAGAACAAGAGTAATTGTTCAAATTCGTAGATTATTTCAATATAGTTATACAATTGATAAATAATTTTTTTTATATATTATATACTACTTCTTTTAAAAGCTCAGATAGCTTAACTTTCTATAAAACAAGATTAAATTTAATAAATAAATTAATGCTTTCACTTTGTCTTATAACATATTTTTTGAATTCTATAATTTTTTTGTTGCAATTTGACTGATTTACTTAAATTTGAAATTTAATTGGTTGGTAATTATGTGTAACTATATCAGAATCATCTACAAATTTTTACAAGTGCAAAATGCAAAATATAGTTTGGCCCATCTCAATAGCACTATATATGTTTTGTTTTCTATATATAACAAACATGACGATTAGTATGAGTTGTAGACAGAGGAGACAGTATGCAAGACTAGTTAAGAGATTTTATTATATTGTATTGAGCAGACTAGCTACTACATATAGGTTTGTATATCTTTTTTATACTATCGCTCAAGTGCTTGTTAACCCGATTACTAATACTAACTTATTACAACATAATTTATGCGCATGAATCGCTTGACTAATTTTATTACTATATACATAATTTATGCTACTAATTATTCTTCGATTACCTGTTATTACCTACTTATTGTTAAATCAATTGATGACTATATTTCTCATGTGTCGGGGTAAGACTAATTAAATTCCAGGGTAAGTTTATGGGTCGGAATTACGGGCTTGGATCGTAGTCAGTCTTGGTTGGGTCACGTGATTGAGGTCACAGGCTGGGGTCATGATTGGAGTACCAGGCTTGGCTTGGCCGTGTAACTGTAACATTACCCCACCATTAATGCTTCACTTCTTTCCCTTTTTGAAGGTTTTTTTTTTTTTTTTCTTGTTGTTGGCCCAGGCTTGTGTGGGTACTGCTGGTGGAAGCAACTTATGGCTTTTTTGGCATGAGCCACATTCTCCATTGGTTCCCATGAACGTTCACTAGGGTCATAGCCCTTCCATTCAACTAGGTAGTGCAATTTTCTTCAAATATATTTTGAGTTGAGTATTTTTTCAACCTCATACTCAGGCTTCTCTTCTATTATTACTGGAAGGGGAGGTACTTTGTTCCTTCCTGGAATCTTGTTTGCTGAATAAGGCTCCAGCAAAAAAACATGGAAGACATTGTGAATTCTGAGGGAGCAAGATAAGGCTAAACGATAGGCGACAGGATTGATTTGAGACATGATGCTGTAGGGGCTCAGCCTTTGGAACTCTAATTTTCCGGATAGGCGCTGTGTACGTATATTTCGTTATAATAACCAAATCTGATCACTGATCTTGAATTGAGATGATTCCTGTTATAGCTGGTTTGCATTTTTTTTATAATGCTCTTGTACTATCTTTAATTCTTGAATAAGCTCATCCCTAATTTGTTGCAGTTGAATTATTCTGTTTTCTGCAACAGGTACTGCTGGATCACCAAGTGGTTGCACATCAAAGTGAAGATGAAATCCGTAGTTAGCAAAGAAGGGGGTAGTTTTAGTTGATGAGTGTATAGAATTATTGTAAGAAAATTCTGCCAAAGGCAAAAGGTTGGTCTAGTCATTCTGATGATAATTTACAGTGCATCATAAGTATTGCTTCAGCACTTAGTTGACCCGCTTACTCTGTCCATCTGACTGGGGGTGGTATGTTGATAATAGGCTAACTTTGGTTTCCAAAAGCCTGAAGAGGTGTTTTCAGAACCAGGAAGTAAATTGGGGGCCCCTGTCTGACACAATTTCATCCGGTATGCCGTGAAGATGAACCACTTCCTGGAGCACCAATTCAGCTGTTTGTTCTGCTATGATATTCTTACAGCAAGCAATAAAGTGGGCCATCTTTGTTAGTCAGTTCACTACTACCCAAACTGAGTCAAATCCTAATGATGGGGGTAGGTCCGTTATAAAATACATAGATATAGACTGCCATTGTCGGGAAGGAATAGACAATAGTAATAACAGACCATGTGGGCAATGTCATAGAAGCTTTGATCTAGCACAAATGTCACAGGTCTTAACGTATTTTCATATGAAAGATTGTAGATTGGGCTACCAATAGTTTCTAGTTACTAACTCAACTGTTTTCATTGTTCCAAAGTGCCTTGCCATCTTGGAGTCATGCCGAGCTTGCAATATTTTAAGTTTTTCTGCTATTCCTGGTATATATAGTAACCTGTCTCTGTATAATAACCTATTCTTGTATGTAAATTTGTGATAATCAAGGCGAGAACCTTCTTCCACTACGTTACCAGAATTTAGGTGCTTAATTATGTCAAAAGCTAGAGGGTCCATTTTTATTTGCGAATGGACACATTCTTCTAAAGTAAGGTCAAATAGCATTACTGATACTGCATTTAAAAGAATTCTTTCCAGTTTTAGCAACACAGCTTGTTAAGAAGCGACTTCGGTGACAGACAGTTTATAATCTGGTCTTCGAGACAAAGCATCTACATTACCTTGGTTTTTCTTTGGACAGAACATAATCTCAAACTCATAGTTAGAAAGAAATATCAACTATCGGGCCTGATATCAGTTAAGTGTTCGAGCTAAGGTAAAATGTTGAAGGTTTTTGTGATCACAATATACTGTAACTTTGTGTTGGGTCCTTTCCAGATAGTACCTCTATTGTTTAAAGGCTGTCATGATGGCTAATAATTCTTTATCATGTATATCATAATTTATTTCTGCAGGAGAGAATTTACGGGAATAATAAGCAAAGGGATGGAGATATCCATCATTTTGCAGTTGAGAAAGGATAGCCCCTAGGGCATAATCAGAGGTGTTGGCTTCCAAGAAAAACTGTCTGGTAGGGTCTGCGTGAATTAAAATCAGGGCAGTGGAAAATGCTTTTTTCAGCAATTCAAAGGCTTTATGCGCTTCTCTGGGCTATTTAAAATTTTTATTGGATTTATGGGTCAGGTTAGTGATAGGGGTGACTAATTGTGAATAGTTGTTGATAAAATGCTGGTAATAGTTTGCGAAGCCTAGGAACTGTTGCGCTTCCTGAAGAGTTGTAGGAATTGGCCATGAGAGTAAATTTTCCACTTTTTTCTGATCCATTTTGACCCCTTGGAGGGTAATTAAATACCCCAAAAATTCGACATGGTCCTTATCAAACTCACACTTTTCTAACTTTGCGTATAGGCCAAAGTTACGAAGTCATTCCAGTACTAATCTTATATGAGAATCATGTTCTTCAGAAGTGGAGAAATATATTAGAACGTCATCTAGGTACACCACAATGAATCTATCCAAAAAATCCCAGAACACATCATTCATGAGATGCTGAAACACTGCAGGTGCATTTGTAAGTCCAAATGGCATTATCAGATATTCGAAGTGGCCGTAATGGGTGCAAAAAGCAGTTTTCCACTCATCCCCTGGTTTAATTCTGACTAAATAATAAGCACCCCTCAAATCAATCTTGGTAAATATTTGGGCCGAAGACAAACAGTGCAGCAACTTAGATATAAGAGGGAGTGGATATCTATTTTTTATAGTAACTTTATTTAATCCACGGTAATCTATGCACAGTCTCAATGACCCATTCTTTTTTTTGACAAAGAGAATGGGTGCCCTGGCAGAAGATTTAGAATGCCTGATATATCCTTTGTCTAAATGTTCTTCAATGTATTTCTTTAGTATTTCTAACTCCAGTCCAGATAACTCATAGATGGGTCCCCATGGGGGTTGTTTTCCGGGCATTAGATCGATCACACAATCGTAAGGTCTATGTTCTGACAGTTTGCTTGCTTCTTTTTCGTCAAACACATTACCAAAGTCTAGGTACTTAGCCAGAAGTGTCGCTGTGGCCCTACACAAATTCGTATTTACAGGGCTAATGTAAAAAATTCATGCCATAAAGATTTGTTCTCCCATATCACAATGAACCTCGGGATGAGGCCTCCTGGTTGGTTGTAGAAGGTGTAGTGCACAAGTAGTATTTGGAAAATATAAGGTATGTTTCTGTCAATTAATCACAAAGTTGTAAGAAATTAGTCATGGTATTCCTAGAATTACTTGGTAGTGTGATGATGAAATTAGGTTGAACTTTATTAGTTCGTAATGTTCTTGGTACTGGAGTAGCAAAAGTTCTGTTTCGTGTATAACTGCTCCAGACAAAATTTCTCAACTGTCGATTACCTCTACTGATAGCGGTTTGTTTTTTTTATTAACTGGTAGGCTGTGTTCTTGGGCTAAAGTAGAATCCAAAAAGCAGGCTGACGCTCCAGAGTCAATTAGTATGTTAACAAAAAATTGAGTTTGGTTTGGGAGTTGCAAGACCATCAGTATAGTAAAAGTGTTCATTGAGGTACATGTAGTTGTTAGGTTGGGGTTCTGGCTATAAGTTGAATCCAACTGCAGGTCCCCTATTGCAGTTGGGGCTCCTCTTTTCCTGAAACATGCTCTGATATAGTGTCAGTTGCATTAATTCTGTATAGGGCACCGCTTTTCTTGGGACAGTTCCTGGCAAAGTGCCCTGACTCGCTGCAATATAGACAAAGATTGTTCGTTTGACGCCTTCGCTTTTCCTTAACAGTAAGTGTTCTCAACCTTATTGCATCAACCTGCATAGGTTTAGAAAATGAGAGCGTGTTACTGGAGTTATTTACTGGGTGGTTCCAATTGGGAATATCAGTTTGTTGCCATTCATGACGATGTTCAAACAGTCAATTATCACAATGGACAGCCTTTGAGATAGCATCGTTTAGAGAGGTGGGATCATCCATGGTGAGCAATAGATCCTTTATATCATCCCTGAGTCCGGTTCTAAATTGATCGATTAAAGCTGCCTCTCCTCAAACTAGGTTGCTTGAAATTTGCCGGAATTCAGAAGCATAACTCGATGCAGATATGAAACCCTGGGTAAGTTTTCTAATTTTGTTGGCTGCTGTTCTAACCTTATCAGGGTCTCCGAAGATGGATTCAAACTCTTGAACAAAGTTATCAAAGTTGGAAAGCACTGGTGATTGTTTTTTCAGAAGTGGGACAAACCATGCTAGGGCAGGTTCAGAAAGCAGACTTCCAATAAACCCTACTTTGGTACTGGCATCATGGTATTAGGTTGGCTGCAAACAGATGATTAAACGAACTTGGTTTAAGAACCCTCTAAACTTTGATCGATTTCCATCAAATTTGTTAGGAAGACTGACTTTGGGTTCTTTTACTTGACTAAGTTCACCTGTTTGAAGCTGGTTTAACTCATTTCTGATATTTAAATTTTCTTCCTATAACACCTAATTTGCTTGTTGTATTTAAATGTAAAGCGGCTAGGATCCTATCAAGGTCAGGTTGTTCGTCCATTTGCATTTTTGTTTGTTTTGTTCATTTTTTTTTTTTTTTTTTTTTTTTTTTTGGACAGCTAGATAAGATGACTTGTGGAACTATGTGTAAGTTATTGTTATTAAAATGAGAGACAGGCTTGTTGGTTGCCACAATTTTGATATCTTTAAGGAACGGAAAGTAATAGTCTGCTCAAACTATAACGAACACAATGATTAGTACGAGTTGTAGACAGAGAGGACAGTATGCAAGACTAAAAAAGGGATTTTATTATATTATATTAAGCAGACTAGCTACTACATATAGGTTTGTATATCTTTTTTATACTATCACTCAAGTGCTTGTTAACCCGATTACTAATACTAACTTATTATGACATAATTTATGCACATGAATCACTTGACTAATTTTATTACTATATACATAATTTATGCTACTAATTATTTTTCAATTACCCATTATTACCTACTTATTGTTAAATCAATTGATGACTATATTTCTTATATGTTAGGGTAAGACTAATTAAATTCCGGGGTAAGTTCATGGGTCAGGATCATGGGCTTGGATCGTAGTCAGTCTTGGTTAGGTTACGGGATTAGGGTTACGGGATTAGGGTCACAGGCTGGGGTCATAATTAGAGTACCGGGCTTGGCTTGGCCATGTAACTGTGACACTATAAGTCTATACTCAGTTTAAGTTCACTTTTTTTTTATTATAGTTCCAAGTGGAATACATTTATAGTAGTTTTACTGTAATTTTTTTAGCATTAAGAAATGTCTAAATTCAAATGCATGATAAAGTATTGCATGTTGGATTGTAAATTAGAACATAATATGAAAATTAGAAAAATATACAATTTATAGAAAAGACTTAGTAATTTTGAAACTATCTAATTTTTATTTAAAAATATAGTAATATATATATATTAAATATCAATAAGAAGTAAAAAAGTAATTAAAATACTATTTAGATTGAAGAATTACAAAGTTTTTACCTAATATGATCATGTTCCTTTTTGCACAAATGAATTCACATTATTCATCACACCTTCTACTATTATATTAGACATCAGATAAGTCTTATTGGTCTTTTATTCAAGCAAAATTGTCTGTTTGACTAAACTACAGCAAACAAGATCTGCTAAAACTAATTCTACTAATGCTTTTGTGTGTAACTATTTTTGTTTTAGATGGTCATTAGGATCTGTTATTAACTTTCTACTCTGAAGTTATGCATTATCTAAACAACAAAAAACTTCTATTACATCTAAGGGTATTATTAATTTATCATTATTTTTGCACAATAATGTTACTATCTTGAACAATTTTAAAATTTCTGATTTCACATCTACTTGAGTTGCATTATCTTCTTTGCACCTAATACAATTATCACAAGAATTACAAACATTCAGAATTGGATCGTCTGGCTATTAATAGTATTATAATATTAGCTGAAGTCTACATTTATATAAAGTTATACAATAGTACATTACTTTAAATAGCTTGTGTTCTGCTTCAGTCAGATAAAGTTATTGAGTGATAGTCTTCTTATTATCATTTTCATTACTAAAATTTGAATATATTTTAAAACTATTTCATGAAACTATATATTAAAATTATTTAACAAAACTATATTTTAAAATAATAATACCTCTTCCTATTATTCATAATAATAACATAATTTGTGTAAATATCTTTCTTAGAATCAAGAATAATGCATTTGCCACCCTGTTGGTCTCATCTAACTTGACCAGAAGCTTGAATAATGCTAGCTAATAATGAGGTATTAAGTATTTGTTTTCTAATTAAATTTGTCTTCTAATTAAAGTTGCACTACCAAGATAATATATATACTTATTCATATTTATTGAAAAATTATAATGCAATACTAAATGAATATTAGGCATGTTTATATCCAAACTAAAGGCTAATTTTGCAATCATCAATTATGTTTGACCTTTGTTTCACCTTATTATCACATCTTTTTTTTTACTTTTTGATAATTTTCCATTATACATATCTAATAATATTTCTTTTATTTTTTGACTTAGTATTTCAAAAACATCTGAACAATTCATAATCTGTGCACAATAGATTATTATATAATCAGCTTCTCTTATACTTTTTACTAAATCTATTATCTGGTCTGCCCAAGCTGAATTGGTATTCTTTCATTCTTGTACTAAAAAGCACAATTTCTCATATAATAAATTGGTGTCTTTTGCAATTACAAAATGATTTGAATCAATATTTAAATTATTTATAAGAGTTTCTACATTATTATAAGATAAAGTTGTAGTTAAAGTTATAATCTGAGCATTAGAAAAGCATTATTTTATCATGCTTAGTTTTCTCTATTTCTTCCTAAAAAAATTTTTATTTTAATATATTTTTATAAACTACTTTAATTTTTTATATTTCTTATCTAAAATAATGAAATTTTAAAATACAATAAACTTTGTTGATTACAAATTGTAGTTTTCTTTCATTATATAAGTGATAATATAGCTTTTTAAGAGATTTATTGAGTAATAATTTTTTCAAAATAATATAAAGTAAGCAGATAAACCCAAGAGCTATATTTTCAAAAATTTGTGATTTGTATTTGATTGTTTCTTGAGATAACATTAGCAATTTATCATATAGAATCTCTAACTGAACAAATTGATTTTAAAAGTAAAGTTAATTAGATACTGTTTATTTTAGTATTCAAATATAAGTGCATATACTAACCACTTGGCTTTGAATTAAAGATTTTAATAGTGAAATAACAATTATAAAACTGTTGAAAAAGATGGAGAAAACTGCATAACAAAATGATTTTCTACTACCTGTCTTCATAATTACAAGTATATCTTTTTCTTCTTTTATATAATATTTTATAGCATTAATTTGTCCTGGCCTCAATTCAGAAAATTTAAAAATTTCTTTCATAATTACATTAATATAATCTTTTAAAGTAAAAAGCATGTTTATCTAATCTTTAGCATTATATTTGGATTTATAAGTCTTTCTTTTCAACCAAAGAGCTGATATATATGGCATAGTGAGTATAAACCTCTAGAGTGTTTTGAAAAAACATTGCAGCAAATACACCATATAGTGACATCAAAGTTTGTAATTGATAAAGCAAAGAATGGATAAAATTCATTATTGTAAATCTAATTCTGTGCTTTTAGCTTATAAGAAACTAATTTCTGAATTATAGAATTATTATGATAAATAAATATTGAAGTTTTAGAATTGTAATCTTATATTGGTTATAATTTATCTGATCAAAATTAAAGCCAACTAATTTCTTTCACTTATTAGTATAAGTTTTAGCCTATGTCTGATTAAGTTGTTATATTTGTTTTACATTTCATTATTGTTTTGTAAAATGTTCTATTTCTATTGCATTAATATTTAGTAAGTCTTCTATTTTGAAAGGTTTTTTTGTAATAAATTTCTTGAAGTTCAAAAAGCAGATAAGTATATCCTTTATTGTAATATAATACAGCCATTGCATAATGTGCAGCATATAATTGCCAATAATCAATTTTTTTATCTAGATATATAAGCTTTACTTTATTGAATGCTTCATTTTGAGATGTTCAATTGAATGTAATGATTTTTTGGCTGTGAGGTATGCAATAAATTGTTTTGAAAAGTTCTTGAAATTTGACAATTCTTTTATTAGAAGAATTACAAAGAGTTGGCTCTTGTAAAATAATATTAGAATTATCTTTTGTTTAGCATATATCTGGCCAACAACCTGAATGGTTAATTTGTAGATAGTTAATTAGATCTTCTATTTGCATTTTTTGCATGTCTTCTTCAGATAATGCATTAGAATATTGTTCAGCTTTTTTCAAGACTACTAAGTAAATGCATTCATAAAACTAACATATTATGTAGTCTTCAAAGCAATAAAACTGGCTGTTTGTTTTATCTAAAAAGGTATTAATAATTAATACTTATAATAGTGATGCAGACATATTTATATAATAAAGCTGTAACTAAGTCATAACTCAATTACCTAATATAAAAAATTCTTTTTTTATATAAATTATAATCTAGTTATTATCTATTACATAAATATGTCTGCATCTTTAACTTATAAATACTTTTAACCTAAAAACATATTACTTACTGCATATAGAATTTCTAATATTATGAGTTAAATATTTTAGATCAGCATAGATATTAGTCATAATGAGTATATTCACAAGAGTTTTATTTGAGTCTAGATCTCTATCAATGCTTATTTCCAAGTATAAGTTAGCATCTTCTAATAATGAAGTAATTTTGTTTAATACTTCAATAAAAATAGTGTGTTCTATTTGCTTTGAAGTTTTATTGAAATTGCTCTTGTAAACATTTTATTAAGTTCCAACTCTTTTTTTTTCACAAATCTTGTTTTTTCAATAACATGAAATGTGACAATTGGCTTATAAGAATAATCCAATAATAAAACAATATCAAAATTAGTTATGAATTAAATTAACATTTACAGGTGAATTATTATACTAGATGGTATTTCTTAATATATTAGTTCTTTACTATCTTGTCTTGCATTTCATACATGAAATTATAATCAATCAAACCCTATGAATAGAGCAGTTTTGCCTTGTAATAATGTATTTTTGATATATTTTTTTAAAACTTTATCTGTACAAAAGTTTGCAGCAGCTACAAGGGGTCAAAGCATAATTTTTGGTAATAATAATATGTTTTATTTTCTATTTGATTCATAATTTCTATTATAGCTAATGAACTTTGAATTGCATTACAAAATATTTTTTCGGCAAGTTCTATAGCTTTTGTTAAGTTGATTTCTTATGCTTTATTGGTATTTTTACAAATAGTATTACATTGTTTGCATTTTGCTGTGCTTTTAATATGAAATCTGACTAATGTTATATTTAAATTTTATTTGCAAGATTATCATTATTGCAATCATAATATAGTTGCATAAGTATTAATGAAAAACATTGCTTGGTAGAAATTAACATAGTAGAATTAAGTTAAACAGATTCAATTGCATTT